AAAGCCAAAAGTTATTTATTTTTTTTATTATATATATTTATTAATTTTCAAACATTACAAACATAACTTAAAATCGAACAAGAAAAAATAAATAAAAATAATTTATGGCTCACCACTCCATTAAACCAATTTGAGAATGAAATTAAATATTGACATAATCGTACCAACAATATGCCTTACATATTTGTACTCCAATATGTCTCACATATTTAAACCTCATTAAACAAACCCTCTAATAAGAATAGAGGATATATCTAAGCCCATATATATTAAAAATGGGTCCCACCTTCTATGAAATATGGCATCCTTACTATAAGAAGCACAGGTTAAGTAATCTAATGATACGTATTCCAGTATAACCCTGTGCCATAGTGCCCTAGAAGGGGCTTTATCCATTAACCAGTTCAAAAGAATACATTTTCTTGCACAGAATGTTAGGAACTTGCAAAGCATCTTTTTATGTTTGTCTACAATAATGTCATCATATATTCCAAGCAACATGTGTTTTGGACCACAGCCAATATTAATAGATAAAATAACATTGTTATTTTTCAACCATAGCCCAAAACTTCTGAATTTCCCTACAAAACCAGAAACAGTGAATAAGATCTCCTTCCTCTGTTTTGCATTTCAGGCACATTGGTGAGCAGTCATCCTTAAACTTGTGCCTCCGTGAAGGAGAGATATGTGCTCTGTATCTATATATCTATCTATATATATATGACAATTTGTTTTTAGCAAAAACCATGTGGTTAAACTAAACTGAAATAAACCAAAAGCAGAAACCTTTTCCACTGGTTTGGTCACTTGATAGCCAATGAAAAACAATCGTTCACCTTTGTCTCCAGTGCAGTGTTTCTCCTGTTGGGGCAAAATTAAATAACTCTCATCAGCATAAGAGACAAACTCACTCTCAGTGTCTTTTAAAGGTTTTATTCTTTGCAAAGAAGGTCAAACATCATTTTTTTACATGTTTGAAAATTATCGGAAGGACGGGAGGTGCTCGTAACGTCTCGGATCGGCCCCTAATTCTTCTCACACGGTACGAGCCGCGACCCGAGAGAAAAAAATCGCCTGCGAGCTCCTACGACAGCAAAAATCGCACCGTGTACGCCCGCCTTAATCCATCTGAAGTTGACCAATCAGAAGATGACAAAAACCATGTAGTCAACAAGTTCAACAAGCAACAGCGACCAAGTGACTGCTGCAGAACGCATGCGAGAGAGACGAGGCAGCGCAGATCGCGCGTCTCATAAGTGAGCGGGAATTTACCGAACGTGGCACTTGCGGGAGTTAACACTGTATGCAATACACACCAAATTTCAGGCCGTGTAGATAGGCAAGCATATATACAAAACATTTAGTAAGCAGAAATCTGAAATTTACCTTAATATATTAAGTTAGAGGAAGATGCGACAGAATTGATGCTGAAGAATGCACTTCCAGCAGCCATGATAAACAGTTGGCCGTTAAAGTTTTCTATGCACAATTTGATTTGACGAAAGTCACGAGACCTATTACTATCTGTGCAGATAATGTTATTTACAGATGTAAGTATACAAATGTACAATTTTTGGATTCTATCATATGCATAAATGCCAGGGTCCAATTACTCCTCTCTCACGTCCAACTATTCCTCTCCCTTGTCCAACTCTCCCACGTCTAGACATTTTCTTACTTTTTTTGCTTCTCTTTGTTGTTCTGTATTGTTTTGAACAAAACAAATCCAGAGAGTGCCTTTTTTATTGTGCATGCCCATGTAATGGAAAGACTTGGAATTATTCATTACTGTAAGCTTGATGACCCCCTAGGTCATGGGCAGACGCCTATGGGTCTCCCAGTTGTCCTCCTCTCAGCCCAATATGGCCCTGTGGACCTCTTGTCACCCATACATCTTAAGCTTAGGCCCCAAACCCATCTCTCACTGTGACTACACAGCAGTTCTAAGAAAACACATGCACTATGTAATGTTCCCTAAGCACATAAGATTATGCTAAAATCAATACAAATGAATTTTTCTACTACACTCCAAAACCTTTATACATGCACGTATCATTTCTCACAGTGCTCTAAGACTCAAATGGAAACAGCAGCATTGCAGTTTGTCTGCTTTATCTCTAGATCTACACATTTAGTGTCAAAGACTGTTTTAAAGCAAATAAATCATTCATTAAATGTATATTAATTTTGTTTCTAATTTAGTTATTTGATCATTATGGAAAATGTGAAAGATTTTCAGTTTAAACAGACAGATGTTTAGGAAAGACCCAAAAGATGTAAAGTTCGAAACATTCAAGTGAACATTTCAGCCTTTCATAAGCAATTTTTTTTTCTGTTTTCTGTTTTAGTTATTTCCTGTTGTCAAATATTTACCTCGCATCTAAATTTAATTATAGTTGTATAAATACCTCTGTGTTTATCAGTCTCGAGTCTGGCCTTTATTTTTTTGTTGAGTCAATATATGAAAAAGTGGTGGTCAACAGAAGTTCTGCTTCATTTTACAAAGACAATTTATTCAAGGCATCAGACTTTCAAATCACAAATGCAATGACATTTAATTAGCTTATTAATTTATCAATAAATTATTCATTTTAATTAGTATATGTGCTATCATAAGTGCGTAAGATTAACACTGAAGGATCCGGTATCTTCAGTTTGTACCAGTTAATCTCATCTATACTAAGATCACAGATTATATTCACATCGGCTCCTAATGTTAATGGTGTGTTTGTTAGCCTCTTTGTGGCTTGAGACCACATGAACAGATCTATGAATAGACATTAAATGCATATAAGATCAAGATTTATTAAGATCATTTACTGAGAAAATCAAAAGAAACCCCATTTATTGACCCAATCAATGTGATGACATCACATAACTTTGGATGAAGCTTCATTATTTTTAATGTTTTATCACCATTGTATCTTTATTTTATAGAAGCTTTATTAATTTACCCGACTATAACCCAGAAAAGGGTCCATATTCAGTACAACAGCTCTGCAGGACAATATGATAGTCAAGCAGACTCCTTGGTTTTTAAGGCCTATTTACTTTTATATAGGCCAATCACTTAAATTTATGCTCACCATTTATTCATTTTTTTACATAAAATAATATGAAATAGAGTCATACACATATATACCATTCATTCATAAAATAATGTTTTTAACCAGTTATTAAAAAAAACAATTTAGAATTAATAGTCATTAGCAGAGGTGGGACCAAGTCATTGTTTTGCAAGTCACAAGTAAGTCTCGAGTCTTTGCATTCAAGTCTCGAGTCAAGTCCCGAGTCAAGACAGACGAGTCCCAAGTCAAGACAGGCAAGTCCAAATCGAGTTGCAAGTCCTCAACTTTAAGATTATCTTCCGTTGAACTTTCTCTTCATTTGAACTTTCTATTCATCAACAAACTCATCAAAAAAGAAATGTATGATGGTTCCCTACCAAAAGTTTTATGCAGCAAAACCGTTTTCAACTGTAAGAAACATGTGGCATTAAATACTGAAATAATGGCTGCTGAAAAATTAGCTTTGCCATCACTTTTTAAGTATATTAAAATAGATCACAATTTAACCCTTAAATGCATACCTCAAGTCTTTAGCGACCCGGGACATCATTCTCTAGCCTCTCCCTCCTTCATTTTTTTAAGTTTGACATCAACTTTCTTAGTATTCCTCAATCTATTAATTATAAACAATATAACAAGAAAAAAATAGTAAAATATAAACGATTAATTGAAAAAAAAAAACCGGATTAATTATACACTTTTTACAAAAAATTAATCAGTTTTTTGTCAATTAATCTTTTATATTTTACTATTTGTAAAATGTGTAAGTATTGTTTTCCTGCGCAACTATATTTACATATCTGATGACTCAATATGTGCAATGCATCTTTTTTCCTCAAGGTGGCAGAATATGAAATAATGATTGGCGAAACATTCCTGCATGTAAGGGTTAATGGAGGTTTAAATAAAATAAAAAAAATGCACATGCAATTAAAATATGTAACTGATAGAACAAAAATAGTGGAGATCTGACAAAAACAGAAGAGGTGTTTATTACAAATAACAATTAAAATGATAGCACATGGAGTTGGCAGAGTGCGAGGGTCGTGGCGTGATGCGGATCCTTCATGCGGATCCGTCACTCATGGTGCACCTCGGTGTCGGACAAACAAAAGAAGTGAGGAATTATTAACAGCAGCGGTCACGGTGCTGATGAGGCGAGCACCAGTGAAGTTTCTCAGGCCCGCTCCGTGTGTCTGCTGGGCGGCGATCAAACGTACAGGGCAGCGCTTTTCACGAGCGGAGATCGCTACTAGACGAATCATGTAATTTGTTATTTTTATTTTTTTTATCTCTGTTCTTTTGGCGTAAGTTATGCTATTACTCCAGTAATTTATACTAGCCTATAAATCCAGCGCTACCTGAACTCAGTTTTTGGCTTATTGCCAGTCAAGCGCAAGCACGCTGCAGGGACGCGTCTATAACGACTTTGATCTGATCATAAAGTCTTTCCGAGTCACAGGGCTCAAGTTCAAGTCAAGTCTCGAGTCATTGCTGTCTAAGTCGAGTCTCAAGTCTTCTTTAATTATATCGAGTTGAGTCGCAAGTCATCAAATTTGGGACTGGAGTCCGAGTCAAGTCTCGAGTCAAGTGACTCGAGTCCACAGCCCTGGTCATTAGTAGCTAACAGAACTGCAGATTAATGATTAGTCTTAAAGTGTCATGAAACTGTTTCAGCACACATCACATCGGTTTTCACACAGTTTTGAAGAATGATAATAAATTAGGTTTGGAAAGCTTTGAAGTAATGGGGTAGAGAGCAAACATTTCTATATAGGCTACGTAACTTACATATAACATTCATATATGTAATTTATAGATAGTAAAAGAATCCTGAAGATTCACAACTCAAAAAACCCTCAACTTCACAAACTCGTTTCAAAGTTTGGTCTATGAATCAAAGACCTACACGTGAGTCATTTTAATTTGTCATTAGATGTATTCATCCAAACTCCCGATAGCTTGCTCTTTTGTGTATTGGCTCCATTCATATGAAATCTCATCCCACATGTGGAATTTTTTCTCAAAGTGTTTTTCCAGATCTTCCTGAAATCTGAACACAAACCACTTCCAGTACGGCAGCTCTGAGAAGTCAGGAGTGATGTTCCACTCTGCATAAACATTTCCTGCATTTCTGTACTTTCTGCACAGAAACCACTGGCCAGTATAGAACATTTTACTAGTTCTTACTAAATTTGTGCAAAAATCTGCACCGAGACACTCTGTTTCATCATAACAGCTTCCAGTGAGTCCATCCACTCGATGGAAAGGAACACTGTGATCTCCAGAATGGTTTTCTACAGTGTTGGTGCAGGTGGCTGCACAGAACGGACACTGAACCCAGCAGCACTGACAGAGATGATCAATCAGAATCTCATCTGGTCTGTCCTTCTCTTCCAGATTTACTGGAAATGTCTCTGTACTGAATTTATGTTGTATTTCAGATGATACTAAACCAAGTAATTTGCTTATCACATCTTCTAGAAGGTTGAAATCATCCACACCTTCATGACTCACTCCACTGAGGTCCTTTACAGAGAATATCAGCACATCTGAGAGCTGCAGTGTGAAATTATCCAGCCACTTCTGAACATCTCCGCTGGTCGTGTTGACGAGTGTAGTCGCTCTTTGAGCTGCTTCCATGATCTTTTGCTGCAGGAGTTCAATGTTCTCCTTCATCTTGGGGCAAACACTCACTTCAAACGTATCAGTGATGAACTGACTGACTTCATCTCTGACAAAACTCTTTAAGTGGTCTCTGGGACTGTTAAAGTATGTAATGTACTTGTAAAAATCTTCCTGTTCTGCCAGACTCTTGAGGATGTGTTTCTCTAGTTTAGATCTGTTTCCATTTAGTGAGTCACACTTTGTTTGAATTTCATTAGTCAAATCTCTGGCAGTATCTTTGTAGACACTCTTTTGAATGGGCTCTTTCAGTTTCTGACAGATGATCTCACCAAAAATGGCAGCTGATGTTGCACCTTGACAGTATTTCTGAAAAATACTATAGTACTCTTCGCTCTTCTGTTCAAAATAGAAAACAGGATCATTGGCTTCCCTGAATCTTCTGTGTTGGTCAGTAATTACCTTGTTTTCTCTCTTACAGATGGAAATGACCAAATCCATGTAAAATTGCTTCTTAAACACATAGTTCCTGGAACCTTGCTCATAATTTACTACTCTGTCTTTGATATAATCTGCGAGTTCCTGAATGTAGGTTTTGTTGTAGCCCATCTTTGCAATGTTATACGACATGATCATTTTGTCTGCATGTTGAGCAATGTCATTGACTAAGGCTTTAATTTGGGTTTCAGCCTCAATGTAACTAAATGTCTGTTTAGCTGATCTGAAGGCATTTTTAGCATGTTCTGAAATTCCTCTGGGTTTCTTTATCTGTACATAATCTGAATACCGTGGCAAAGAAAACATATCCTTGCTCTTTTTCAAGTCATTTAGACTGACACTTTCATAATGACAAAGAAGTTGTTTCATGTCATTTAATACATCAATGTTTTTGATTTGAGGAGTTTCTCTGGTAATCTTATTAACACACTCTTTCCAAAAGGAATCAAACTCTTTTTTCAGGATTGCTTCATCATTTGCTTTGTCTTTGAGTTTTACTGCAAGTTCTTTGCTCTTTTCCAAGAGAGTATTTTCATAACGTGTCTTCTGAGCATCAATCCTTTTCTTCATATCTCGCTGCTGTAAAATCTCATTTAATTTCCTAGTTGTTTCTCTCACAATGTTTTCCTGAAGACCACTGATTTTTATACAAAATGATGCTTTCCACTGTATCAGTATATCTTTATCTTTGTCTTTCTCAAAAAATTCTGACATTGATTCTTCTACTTCTTCACTTTTCACTCCTAGTTTTTCTTGAAGATCACTTTCTGAAACCTCATGAATTCTTTCATTTTCTATGCTGTTGTAAAGTTTATTCTCTATATCCAGCATGGTTCTGCGGAGACTCCAGGACCACTTGCTGTATTCTGTCTCCAGTTTTCGATATGTCGCAATTTCCAGAGAATTTCTGAAGCTGAACACAAATCGTTCATTCAGTAAAGCCTCCCAGAGATCATTAATACGGCCTTTTAGGTGTGTCAGCTCTAAGCCATCTGAATTTGAGGCATGGCTAAAAAAAGTTTTCTTTAGCTCTTGGATGTTTTCACAGTATGATGGGTTTGGTGGTGCCATTGGTGGGCTGCCCTCCCACAGCTGTGCAAAATATTTCACATCTTTCTGTATATCAAAAGTAATGACATCATTGAAACATTCAGCATCAAAGACTTCATCTTTAGCAGCAAGTTTTGTCATTTCATCCAGTGTCTCCTGCAGTCGTCTCCTTCCCTCCATGTTTTTCTCTCCGGCTGTGACTTCTGAAACGTTCTGATGAACAAACATGCAGCTGGGATTCAGTCTGACCTTCTTCATCCTCATGAAGGCCTGAACAACGATCTGAAGAATTTCCTGCAGCTCTGATGGGCTTTCTCCAAGAATGTTGATTAATGTTAAATTACCAAGACCAACAACAAATGTGGCCATTTCATTGTCCTGATGTCTTGTTAACCTTTCAGACAGTTCTAGAGCACGAAGCCCCTCAGTATCAACAACCAGAATATAGTCAAACTTCAGCTGTTCTTTTATCTTCATCTCCTCTGAGACTCTGACCAGCTGCATGAAAGCTCCTCTGGTGCATCTGCCAGCACTGACGGCAAACTGGAGTCCAAACATGGCGTTCAGCATAGTGGATTTCCCAGAGCTCTGGATCCCTAAAACTGACAACACAAACACTCTCTTGTCTCCCAGTTTCTGGATGAGTTCATGTAGAACAGCAGTAACCCAGACCACAGGAACATGAGCAGCATCTCCATCCATCAGCTCCAGTGGAAATCCAGAGATCATCATCTCTGCTGCAAGACTCGGGAGAGAAGAAAAATTACATGGCAGACCTTCTTTGTTCTTATTCACTGATTTACACGATTCATAGATCTGACCGATCTCCCTCAGGATGTGCTCCAAGCCAAAGGTTGCTGCTTGAAGTTCTCTTGATATCCTTTCAAGTTCTGCATGTTCATTGGTCGTCTGTTGCACAGCTCTGACTTTTGACCATTTTTCATTGTACTTGTAATGTAGAGCAGAAAGGTCAGCTGAGGTGTATTCATCCAGGAGGATTGCGAGCCATTTAAGAAAAAATATCTTCTCATTTGGAGATTGTGAATTTATTTCTGTAATAAACAACTTCATGAAGTCACCAATGTCCAACACATGCTGCTCTTCACGGATTTTCTTCATGTTTTGTTTCTGTTTTATTTCCATGTCTGTTTCATTTCCTTGAGATCTATGTAATTCTTTGTTCTTTTCACACCACTGATGCCACAGTTTCCCCTGACAGGGCAGAAATGATTCTTTGATTTCTGTCAGATCTTTATCCTTCACTAAACTCATTATCTTCTGGGCTGATTCTTTTCCTCTTCTGCAGTCATGATCATGTTTCTCATCTACTCTGATACCTGTGTGTTTGGACACATCTTCTAGACTGAAAACAGAATTTGATTCTGGCGATGAGAACAAGAGACATCCATTTATAACCTGTTCGAGTTCTTCAGATACATCTGACTGATTTCTCTCTTTTAATCCAATTTTGTATTTTCCTTTTCTCATTTCAGTTACACTAGATTCATTCTCAGTAAGAAGACATATAAGTGGCTTTCTGCCCCTGTACAGGTTTTGAATTTTTTTTGCGTTCTTGTCATTCTGATCAAGTTGTGGTAGAACAACAACATTGACTGATGCCATTTCAGTGAGGATCTGCAGCTGTTTCGCACTGTTTTCTGCATCACCATGAAGGTTACAGAAAGCAATACACTGAGTAAATTTATCTCTGTCTTTCCTAGAGGGGCAATACCAGGCGATCTCCACCACTCCATCCATCAGTAGTCTGGTTTTGCTGCTGCCTGGGCAATGCCTGTGGAAGAACGTGTTGTGTTTGTCATCTATTAGATTGTTCATCAGCTGAGATTTGGATGAGGACACCGAGCCAAACCTAAAGAAAAACACCATAGGTGTTTCTGCCTTCCAGACAGGCTGGATTATACTGATGATTTCATTGTTGGGCTCTTTCATCTTCCAGCTCTTGTTGATTTGTCTGAATGTCCAGAGAGGAAACTCAATCTCTTGTGTGAATGGATCAGGAACAAGCAGAGGCAGAGCGTACTGACACTGAGACAGTTTAGTCACCATCAGCTGCTTTAGGAAACTATCAGCACAATGAAACACAGCCATCTGAACATCCATCGGGTGAATAGCATCTCTCCTTTTTGCTTCTTCAAGAATTAAAGATGCATCTTGGAAAATATCAGCATCACTCTCATATTCTAAAAAGTCATTGTTTCTTTGATGTCTGTCATGCTGTGCATGTATTGTTTTAATGTACCTTGCTCTGTAGTTCATCATCAGTATTTTTTGTAGGAAAGTCTGTATGAGGTCCTCATCAGCACAAGACTCATGGGACTGTAATGAATGTGTTGTTAGTTGAAGAACATCTGCAGCTCTTAGTTTAGAGGGGTGTATGTTATCAAGATGAAGTCTGTGAAATAGATGCTCTACTTCTTTCCTCCTTCCGTTTCTGTTATGATCTAATCGTGCCCCATCGAATGAACACTTCTCTACGTTTCTCTGTGAAATATACAGCATAATTAAAAGCAGTTAGCTTAAAACATAATTTGCAAAAGATAGTTGCTTTTTTTATTTTTTACAAAGACATAATTTACAAAAGAGCCCTTTAAAAGGGCGGTTGAGCTAATGTGACAAAAATAACCAAGAAGACTCTTTGAAGAACATTTACCAGTGACTAAATAAAAATGTCAAGTGAAACTATATGATAAGGAAAAAATATTTCTATAAGCTGAAAGTCTACATTCATGGAATTCTTTCTAACTTCCTTTTTATGTTCTATTTTTACTCTACACTCATCACTTACCCTATGTGTTTGCCTTGTCTCTGTCATCAAGGTACAGTCCATAGTCTTTCCAATAATTGTGGGTTGGTCTTGTGACAGAACAGAAAAGGAGAGAGAAATATTATTAAATATTATATTTAAAAAAATAAAAAATAAACCGACAGAAACAAACAATAACATAAAATCCCTTTTTTGTTGAAGACGGGTATAATCTAACCATTTATTAGCCAATGGCTAATGATATACATTATTTAGTTGCCTAGCATGAAAACTTAGTCGCATATGCAAGTGATTTACTTGCATTGTAGAGGGTTTTCTCATTAAAAGCTGAATTTGGATTCTGAATTTTGGCTTAACTTAATATCTGTTACAAATACAATTGGTGGAAGTGTTAGAGTCAGGGAAAATAAACATGTCAGAGAACCAACATAACATCAATTAAACCAAATACAGTGGTGTGAAAAAGTTTTTGCCCCCTTCCTGTTTTTTTAATTGTTTGCATATATTTGTCACACTTAAAAGATTCAGATCATCAAACAAATTTTAATATTACACAAAGATAACCTGAGTAAATACAAACTGCAGTTTTGATTTAAGTGTGACAAATATGCAAAAAATTTAAAAAACAGGAACCTTTTCACAGCACTGTATGTGTTCTTACCACTTTTAGATGTCCTGTTTTGCACATCTTCTCTCTGTCTCAATGCTGTGTTGTACATCTCACTAGTGTAGCACTGCTGTTTATTATCAGTAAACAGATGCTCAATCCTGTTCATCAGGTCTGTCATCTCTGACTGGTTGCTCATGTTCTTGCTGCAGGTGTGATATCTTCCGCCACATTTCTCAATCAGCCGCTCTAGAGCAGAGTTTTTCTTCAGATCATCTATTATAGAGTCAGATTCTTCCTCGCTCTCATAGGTGAAGAGAATCATCACAAACTGAAGAACTTCATCACCAAACACTCTCTGAAGCCACTCAAGACCCATCTTATCAGCATCTGTTAACTGGCCCAGTCGCACAACAAAGATGAAGGCAATTATGTCATTTTCATTCACTAGTTTATCAGTGAGAGCATCCAGATCAAGTGCAGTTTCATGTAAGCCAATCAGGTTGATCATTGAGACGCGACATCCTGATTTCTTCATCTGCAAAAGAACAGTCCTGGATATTGCAACATTTTCAATATTTGGTTGTATTTCTCCAAGAAGAAAATTGTCATGTTGAAACTGGACTGCAGCAGAGTTTCCAAAAAACACAATGGTCAGACTGTGATCTAGAATAAATACAGAAGAACCGTTCTCAGATTCATCAATACACTGCAACATAAGAACAAGACTGAAAAATCTGATATTTTTCTTTGTTTTCTTACCCATAGTTCTGAGCACCAGACAGCTCAGGTGACTCACTCATCAGGTTTGGAGACACTCTTTTATTCTAGAAGCTGTTCATTATTCTGAAAAAAAGATTAATTTAGATTTTTTTTAAAGTGTGCAAGAACATGTACATAACATAAAGTCTAGTTTTCTCGACAACTCACTGTATATTTAGATTGTTTTCACCGTCTTAGTGATGTATGAGTATCAAGTCATAACTCCAGAGACTTGAACTCTTCCTGCTTATAAAGGTGTACATCCAGTCTAACAGGATTTACAGTTTACATAAACATATTCTCTTTAAGAACACCTGACCAACTACAAGAAAACCTGACCATGTTAAATTCCTGTTTGTTAAAACAAACAATTAATTATATTGGGTTGATATTTATTTAATCAGTATAATGTGCTATAAAACCTAAATCTAAATCAACTTTCAGAACTTCTTTCACCAAAATTAGACGTTACTACATTACTGTGCACAGTGACAGTGTGACAATGACAGCTTCTTTACTGAGGCCATCCATCTCCTTAGTGGATATAGTAATTACCTATTAATTTACTTTTGACTAACTCATTATTTCTAGGGGTGCACCGATCCAATATTCAGTATAGGTTCTGATACTGCCATTTTTGCTGGACTGGGTATCAGTCAGACAGGACCAAGCCAAATTCAAAACTGCGCATACTCACAGTTGTTACTGTTATAAAAGGCCTATTCTACAGTGATAAAAAAACAACAACAAAAAACGCACTGGGATCAGAATATTATCAGCATCGGCTGATACTCAGGATTTTGAAAAAAATGATATAGGTGCATAGTTATTTCCACAGCCTAAAGACACATAGACCCAAAGGGACTTTTGGTATTTCTTTTGACATTAATACCAATTGTGTCATGTAATACTCTGTTAGACCCCCATTATTGTGTGCTTAACCAGGTGTGCATCATAAAATGTTGTTCAACTGTATCTTTACAGTAATATTCTTGTAATAGTAAAATTCTACTTCTTTGCTGTGGCAAAATAAAATGCTTGTCATTCTGACTTACATTTGAAAAAAATATTTAGGACACTAAAGTTAAGGGATAATGGGCAACCAGCTGGTTATCACAAAATAAACCTTGACAGGATGATCAGGTTTTTTTTTTGTGACAACAACCGTCTGGGTGAACATTATACTGCTTGTTACATGGCTACTTGCCACATAAGTTTGCACACAAAATATTACTTGTTTAATATTTTATTAGCTCAGCAAACACAAAGATTCCACAAAGAAAAAAGTTCCTAGCAAGCATATAGCACCGACTTACCTGGATAAGCCTTTGTTATCAGTTTTTACCAGTTGTTATCAGGGGATAACAAACCACTGGATGGCGATTAAAAAATCAGGTATTCCAGATTCCAGCAATATGTAATAAAAACTAATAAAGTGAGTTATAAAGCAATTAAGAACCTGATACCTCTGTCCTGAATTCCATGCATATTCTCGGCCAGTTCTTATTCCCCTATTGTGTGTCTTGACATAACAGAAAGTGAAAATGTTTTTTTTTTTTTTTTCTTCAATCACTGAATACCTGAAAGACTTTTTAAACAAATCACTAACTTTTCTGAGATATATTTTTTATACTTAACTATTAACAGACATGATGATGAGCAACACTGGTACGGTTACCCATGCGTTCAAGTCTTAATTGTGGAGATTTGACACAGTCAATTTCAACATTAACTTTCCTCAAATAATAAAGTTCACCAAATGTTGGAACTCTGTTAACTGAGGAAAGTTGAACTTTGGTGACAACTGGTAATTGTGAGTGATGTAAATTTACCTCAGTTAAGCCAACCTCACTTAAAACTGTCATTGCAGTAATTCACCTGACAGGAAATTTACTTCCTCTAACAGCGGTTAAATAACTTAAAAGTACAGTTCTAAAGTATCATTTAATGGTTTAAGTATTATGTCAAAAAACACTAATAAGAGATATTATTTATTTTTACCGTGTCCTTCTCGTTGAAAGTGTCTCACGCTGTGGTTTCTGAACGTAAATGAATCAACAGCTGTTTCTCGATATGCGTTCTTCTCTGTACTTGTTGTGCTCTTGTGGACTCGTGAACTGTCATCAGTCGCTGCTCAAGTACTGTTCTAATTCAAAGTTCAGCCAAGTACCTACAGATGTATTTTTTGTTCCGCCTCTTTTTCGAGGATGCGCCAGAAGGGATAGCTGCACGTCAGAGAAATGGGCGTGTCGAAAGGTAGGTGTGTGCCAAAAAGGGGCGTGTCGAGAGGTTTTACAATTCACGAAAGCTGTCTGTTCTACATACAAGCTTAAACACTAGCGGTTTACAGATTAACAGGACGACGTGCATAAGGACAACGTAAACAAGAGGTTTTACCTTGCAGTTATCCCCCTAACCCGAAATTCCTTTTTTTTTTTTGTAAAAATGGTGATAGTACGGTGGCCGAGAAGTACAAAGCAGATCACAATTCTGAAAACAAAATAACAAATTACAAACGCAAATGCAAGTCTAAAAAACAAAATAACAATTCAAAAAGCACAACAACAATTCAGAAAACATTATAACAAGTCAGAAAACACGATGACAAATTCGAAAACAAAATAACAACACTCTTTCAAAGAACAAAGAACATTTTATTCTTAAGAATATGTAGATACTGGAATGAGAAATGTGAACAAATATATCTTTATCCTATAATAGATAAAAATAAATAAACACCTTTGTTAAAAAAGTGCACAGTAACAAGAACTAGGACAAAACAACGTAACATTAATGGTCAGCAGTTATTTAGTGTTTGGTCAAGCTCACAAATGGGGTCATATTTGAGCTTGACCACATATAATAATTTATTTGGCTATATAGCAAGTTACGCTAACCGTGAGTGTGCCCCGTTTTACACTGTCACATTTACATTTGCACTGTCGGGAAAAGGCATCTGTATGTCTGCTGTGTTCATACTGCACGATGATCGGCGACAGGAGCTCAGACACTGCATGACTTCACAGTAGAAAGTATCGCAGACAACTCTGTCTGGTCCGCAAACTATGTTTCATAACCAAACGCACGTGAGAAGTGATAAGGAAATAATGCAGGATCACACGTGAGATCCAGTGTTGCCAACTAATTTTAATGGGAAGTTGCTAAAGGAAGGTTGATTTGTTGCTAAAAGTTGCTAAATGTGCCATTGTGCGATGATGTCATCACGACGCAAAATCGTGTCACTGCATCAAATCTCAGCAAAAAATATAGTTTATGTATGTTAATTTCGATTTGTTCGTAAAATAATATAAATGCATAATATAATAATATTAAAATATAAATAACTGTATTTTTAAATACAACATTAAATTATTGAACACTTACACATTTTTTAACAATGGCAATTTAAGTTTTTTTTTTATTAGCTAGTAAAAATGTTTTATTAGCACATTCTGAACAATTAGTTTTAAGCAGTGTATTAGTAGTTTGTTAGTATGCTACACTCTAAGAAAAGCCTGTAAAAATAGTCTACTATGTTAATATGAAGGAATTTTCCATATTGATTTTTCACAGGTTGTTTTTACCTACATTTTAAATTCCGCATTGTATTTAGTGTTTTTGGGTTACAGCGTTACAACGGATAATGGATAATGGATAAAGTCCTGGAAAATTACTACCTTTTCCATTTTTCTGGATCAACTAACTGATCACCAATCACAGGTACAAGCTACTAACAAGGTGTATCATAATAGGTGTGTTCGACTTGAAGCGGCGCTGTGCAGATTGATCGGTGTTTGACATCAAAGCACCGCGAGAGCGATCAGAAATCATGCAGGTCCTTCTGCTCTCTATTAGCTCTCACGGTACTTTGATGTCATACACCGATCGGTCTGCGCAGTGCCGCTTCAAGTCGAACACACCTAATTATTATTGAACAATTGCAAATAGCAGTTAACGTAATGTGTGCACTGCTAGTCATCTTTGGTTTCCTCTTTTTGTCTAATTTAGATGGAAAATGTGTGCCTTTTTATCGTTTGAGTCACTTATCAAAAGTTGCTAAAAGTTGCCAAAAAATAATAAAAAATAGCTACATTTGTTGCTAGGTGCTTTTGGAAGAAAAAGTTGCTAGGGTAATCTGAAAAGTTGCTAAATCTAGCAACAAAATTGCTAAATTGGCAACACTGGGCAGAAGTCGTTGAGGGTGGAGTCAAGACAATTTGGCGCATCTTTTTGCACTTTTAGTGTAAAATAAAATCACATCATGTTGCACCCTGCAACTACACAGACAGGGTGTACTCATCAACACTGTAGATTGTTAATTCAACATTTTGGGAATTATTAACATTTAACACTGCATGTTTTACACTGGTGATTTTACTGTGTGCACTTGTGATCGATATGATACCTCTTCATTCACTGCTACAAATTGATGGCGGTCAGATAAGTACGATTTGAACCATGCTAACCAGCCGAAGAACAGCAGAGTCGTGGTAGAAAGTTCGGAGATGGTATTAAAGTAGCTCAGTTTAAATGTATTGTATGAATTACCCTTACTCTGGAATAAAAAATACGGGGTGTTTATTTACATTTAGTTAAAAGTGGCTATAACTCATCAGCTGCTGTGGTGCAGATGGATAATCGCAGGTCGTTGGCTTTTTGACGCGATCGACCCGGGTTCAATCCCATCTTTTGCTGAACTTTTTTTCTCTTCCTTTTCAAATCTCGTATCACATCGTAAAGGCATTTATTTTCAATAAAAATTAA